CAGTCTCTGGACCTATTCTCATCCGTATTATCAAATATGTGATCAGTTTAAGATACTTTACTGTGTTTCCCTTTATATAAATTGGAAGCTGAAGCAATCATTCAGTCAATTAGGGCTTAAGTCAGTCTTCCCAATGATTAGAAGAGACATTACTATGAATTTTGCCTTCATACTTTCCACTGTGCTCCTTTAGTGCCACCTGGTGACTAGCTTGAAATAAAATAAAATTAAGATTACATTTTTCACATTGAGAACTAGCTATTACCGATTGAGCTAAAACATCTGCTCAAACAAGACTATGTCAAGTAACATGTGAATTAAAAATGCCTTAGCTAGCTCAGGGGGATTCCTTTTAATATCACTTCCAAGCCTAAACTAATCCGACACTTAATATCTACAGTTGCTTTATATAGATATGAGCATGATAGGTAAACTTTCTGTTTGCTAGGAATTTAGTATGCATTCACATGATTAATGAAGATGTAGCCTGTAATGACATTACTCAATGCGTATAACCTATGTTTTGCATCTGTTAAGGTCCATGAGTCTTTTGTAGAGAAACAGCCCCTGTAATAAATGCTTTGTGAATTCTTTTTCTTAACAAGAGCTTATATAAAATCCACCACAGATATGAAAAATCATGTTATTCTAAGTCAAGCTTAGAAATGAAGGCTGAACTTCCTCTTATTTCAAACCTGGGGAAACAAATATTCCACTGCATCAGGCCTGTAGCTTAGCACCTACAGAAACAGTTACTTCACATGGCTCCAGATCTATTTAGATTATTTTGAGAAATACCCTGCATAATGTTCCCATACCTCCCCCACACATACCCAATTCTTTACTGCTCTGTAAAACCTTCTTATTTCATTGTGAGTGTAATATGCGTGAGTCACATAGAGTGGTCCTGGTGCCTGACAAAAAAATCTTGCAACAGGAATCATATTGCATTCTATTCAGTCACTCTCTCTGGAGGGAAAAATATGCTGGCTTTGAATGCAACTGAAATATGCCACTGACATGTAAGGCAGATGGACTGAAATGCCTTCAGCATCTAAACACGTGAAGAAGTGCAACTGAACTAAAAATTATTTCTTCAAAATTTAAAGATATCATTGATTAGCCACTTTCGTCTCAGCTGTTGCTAATGTGAGGTCAGTATCTCATAATATGAGATTAATTAGAAAAATAAAGAAAAAAGGTCAGTAGAATAAATCAGCAATTTTTATCTTTTCTAATGTGGATATTGGACTTCATCCTTCTATGAGACGCATGCAGGAATACAGCTGCATTTATGTAGTTGCAGGATTAAGACACAGATTTAATGTTGTGTTGTAAGGAAAAAGTTGCACAGCTAGATGCAGTGACATTTTTGCTGCAGAATATTTCAAGTACATTCTTAGTCATTATTGTTAAAAACTCTGTAATTATGTAAGTCCATATTTTAGCACTTTGAGGTTTAAAATACTATAGCAAAGATTCCATTTTAAATGCCGTTTTTCATTATTTTCATCTTTTGTGCTGCAATTTTCCATGCTCTGTCTCTTTTCAAAAGCTATTCTAAGCATATTTGAGTAATCTAGGAAATGCAAACAGTTGTAATTTTGTGGTAATGTAAGCATGAAAAATTTTCTTTTGGCTCACATTTCAAATGACAGTTTTTCATTTCTGTGACGTAAGACAGAGATTCCAAGTATGACTTACCTGGAAGTGCTTGCAGAGAAAAAAGCAAATACTGAAGAAAGTAGTGATAGCATTCTTAATGTGCACTCCAGGATATAGGTCACTAGATTTCTGCTTATAGCCTGTTTTTTTCTCACGGCATAGTCACTAATCTGCCGGCTGACATCAAACAAATCACTTCTTTTCTTTGAGCTTTCGTTTCCACATCTGGAAAAAGAAAGAAATAATACCTTTTACATCCTGTATGAAGCTGAGGCCTAATGATAAAAATTAATGTATAATAGTTGCTGTTTATAGGTAGTGTTTTCTTCTGTAGATTTTTTTTTTATTGACACATTTCTGTAAAAGTAGAATGGATCACCAGCTACACATGAATAAGGATGAATATGCTGGTGTGTATAGGGGTTTAGGATACTTGAGATTGTCTGCACAAAGGCATCATAGTAAAGACCATTTAAGCACTGAGTAATCTTTAAAGCTTATTTTAATTGTGCCTGGTTTTTATCTTTCACACCTTTTTTTTTTCTTAGCAGAGAGTCCAAATAAGAGAAATGATATACACAGAGCAGTGTGAGGGTCTATGGATACCAGGCATTTGCAGCTAAAGTTTACAACGATGAATTGAGTTTGGATAGCTAATTTCTTTAAGGGGATCAAACTGGCATAGACTGTGTTGTTCTTTTTCTTTTCCATCAGACATTCTTTTTTGTTAGTTTACCACATCATTTAAACCTTTGCTGTTTGTAGGCTGAAGTGTTAAAACATGTGAAAGGTGGGGCTAAACCTTGAATTGACTTAGAAACTGCAGCAGATGTAGACTTCAGAAACCTTCCTGAAAAGGGGAGGAGGGGGGAAAGTAGGAGCACTGTCATGAGTATGTTAGGTCTGTGCTGCAGAATCCACTTTGGCTGGTAAACCATCAAGTAAAGGTTATGGAGTTGTTTTTTTTCCCAAGAGAATGCTAACTGAGCTAATTTTCTTTTACTCAAGAAAATTATACACTGTGATTTACCTGGAGAATTCCCAGCAACTGAGGTATAAGTAGGAACAATAAATGAAATCCAAGACATTTTTGATATGTTAAGAATTGGTTGGAAATCAAGGTAGATGGAAGTTCTTTCTCCAGTGTTGTCCTTATTGCAAGTGTTTGAAAAGGAGATTGCAAAACAATCTGTCAACATAGCCGTTATTTATAGGGGAGGAAGTTGTGTTTGCTCAATTCACATAATTTTCTAATGAAGCTGTGAAAATAGCTGATCTTCAGAACAGCAGACATTGCTTCTGTCTCTCTATGTTCAAAATGAAAGTGTTGTGCTAACTTTAGACTACATAAGGAGGAAGTTAAAATATACTTAGAAACAAGATTTTCTTGTACCTAAAATTAAAAAAGAAATAACATTTTTCAAACTAATTTAGATAGCCTAGAAATCTAGGTCACATTTTGAAAGATATTAATAGGAGATGCCATTCAAATATCTCAAAGCATTGTAAAATATTTAAAGCATTGTTTTTCCTATTTCAAAAGTAGGGAAAATGTAGCGTAGTTACAAAAGTGAAATAATTTGGAACATTTCAACCCCATGCGGCAGCAGACAAGGAAAAGTCAATGAATTAGTATTGACTGAATTAGCTCTGGAACTAGACACAAAATAGCTATTGGAAAGGCAGGATTTATTGGTATGGGTACATCATCATGCTGATACAGATACGCTGCCTATGTGACTTGTGTTAGTACATGCACTGTTTTTTTGCTGCCCACTCAGGAATCACTGCACTGCAGTGAGTGTTATAAATGTACCCATATTCATTAAAGGCCAAATATTATATCCATTTATGTCAACATAATGCTCCAAGTAACTTCAGAGGTGATAGCTGAGACTCTAAATTTCACACTGTGTCTACAGTTAGGAGGACAGAACAGTAAGGCTTGTAGACATTTGAATAGAAAAGCAAAGCTCAAGGCATAACATGAGATAAATCGTACCATGGCAGCTGCAAACAAGCAAGCAGGTGGTGTGTAAAAACACAGACATTTGAGAGGATGGTAGATTTAGATGTGGTTCATCCAGAAGTAAATTTATCCTGGGCAATGCAGAGCTATGTCATTTGTAAGAGTACTAGTATGTGCTTATAGTATTTAGGATATCATGGGCTTAAATACGTTAACTTTTGCCTATGTGTATGGCCTAACATGAAAATTCACCTACTCCAGTACAGTACAGTTTATGAAATTCCTGATGTTCTCTTTTTGTTCAGCTAAAACATGGAAAATGTGGCAGTCAATTTAAAGTTCTAATTTCTTTTTCAGAATCTTTTGTAAATTCTGTTGTGAAAATGTAACATTTTTCTTACATAAGCTCTCACTATTGCATAGGGTGTTACTGAGCAGAGTTTCATGTCCTGTTGTGCCTGTAGTGAGTAAACCTTAGCATGCTTCCCAAAAGAAGATCCATCGCATTCTCAAACGGAGTCAAGATGGAAGTGGGAAGCACTTGTACAGAATTAGCAGAGCTCCGTTTTAAAGAACACTCTCCTATACTAACACTCTCCTGTTCTTCCACTACTGTAATAATGTTTATGCAAATTCCCCTGCTAAATACAGAAACAATATATTTGAAAATCATCTTGTAGAATTTAATTTTTATTGTTGATAAGAGTCACAGCATTTCATCAGATTTTGTCACAGAAAGAACTTGAAGAATTCTCAGTGTCTTATTGAATGTTTGCTAGTATTTACTTTAAAATTCCCTTAACCTTACATTCTTTTTAATCTCTGAAGCTCCGTACCAGAGTTTATGTTAACAACACGCTTCCCAAGTAACGGTAACTATATCACAGTGTAATCTTGCTGCTCAGAGGTATGCGGCCTTTCATTTCTTATTCCATTTCTGTTTCCCCTGTAGGGCAGGAAAAGGAAATTTCTACCTAGGGAGTTCAGCATCATTCAACATTGATGTTACTTGTCCAAAAATCCTCTATACTAGGGACACCATATGTCAACCACAGTTAGCACTTACAATTTATCAGTACCCACTTATACATGTAAAGGTCTCTTTCTTCTCTCTCTCTGTATGCATTTCAAATGCTAGAGACAAGAGCAGTAGGAAAGCAGATAGAAGAGGGACATTAAAAGAGAAACTTATATCTTTTATCTCTTAGTAGTCCATGCTGTCCTGAAACTGGAATTATTATTGTCCAAAGAGTGTCATCCTTTATGGAGGCAGAAGCATCTTTTTCACCTTGCCCTTGCTGTGTGACATTTGAATACTCTGCTGTCAACAGCATAAACAATAATGAGAACTTCTGTTTCCTTCTAGCTATATGTTGCCTGTTGGCAGTCCTGGAGGTGAGTGTATGATTGAAATTTCTGCAAATGGAAATCCGCCTGTACAACACAGACTCTCTCTGTCATATCAAGCATCTCAGGTGAGTCTGCAAAACATCAGAAAGTAGCTATTTGCTTTGAACATTTCCTCAGCATATGCACTTTAATTATTCTCCAAGGAGAGTATGCATTCTAGCCTTTTTTAACAGATGACATGGAATTTTTCCACAGATACCATTATAAATACATTCTGTTCAATATGTCTTTTTTCATCAAGCATGCATAATATTTCCATTCATCTCTTCAGTTTACTTGACTCTGAAACATCCATTTCAGCTGCTTAAAGTCCATGAAAAGGACACTGATACTGAAAGAGAAAAAAATAACATAGGAATGTCATTTAACAAGGCCACAGTGTTATTAAAAACAAATCAGTTATTGTTTAACAATGATTCTGGTCACCTCGTGTTTGAAATATAGGGCAGTTATGAACCATAACTGACTTGATATGGCATTAGTATTGTTGCTAGGACCTCACTTCTGAACAATATTGGAAAAATGACTGTCTCCTTGTTGAAACTGATACCAGAAGACTCAACCTAAATGGGCAATATGTCAGTTTTCCTAAATCTGAATTTCTCTGTTATTCCTGGTCTCTATGCTATATCCTCTCTTTGTTCTGCATTCTGTCATCACAACATAAGATTATTTCTGCAGGATCCCTGTTAAGCATTTTCTGTTTTAGACTACAGAATTTAAACTGTGATTGAGGCACTCACTCAATAAGTTTATTCACTAGAAGGCAGCACAGTTAACTGTAGCGATACTAATCATGACGTGCATTGCATGCTATGCAATGGGAGTGAGGAACCAATTTTCTTCTCTGAGTCAGAA